GAAACATTTTAGCATGCAGATTAATGCAAAAACATTCCATGGCCACATGGTGATGTGGAGTACAGAATGACCGCTGAAATCTGTGCTCGGGAGTTGTGGCTCCTTGTGTGGCTTATGCTTCCGATGTTTGCTGATTTTGGTGTGTCTGATTGTTGTGTTCTTGATATGTTTTTGCATTTTTTGAATTTTAGGTCTTTTGGATATTTTTGAACTGATTGAATATTTTTTGAATTTAATTGTATTTTTCGAATTTTTTTGAAGTTTTTTTGATTTTTTTTGATTTTTGAACCTTTTGAATTTTATTGAATTTTAATGAATTTTCTTGAATTTTCTTGAATTTTCTTGAATTTTCTTGAATTTTCTTGAATTTTATTGAATTTTGTTGAATTTTGTTGAATTTTTTTTGGATTTTATTGAATTTTGCTGTTTTGGTTTGTTTTTTTGTTTTTCGAATGTGATTGCATCTTTTTATTTTTTTGCATATTCTCCTGCATTTGCACAATTTTGGACATTTTTTCAGGGTGCAGGTGTTCAGTTTTTCTTTTCGGACCACAGGTTTGGGGGACTCTGGGGCACTGCCTTTTGTTGTTTCCCTGCTGGATTCCATTGACTTGCTCAGGTTTGGGGTTTGCAGGTCTCCACTGTAGTGTGTACCTTAGTATGCACCCATGTATTTTTGTGTATTTTATTGTATGCTGCACATCTCTAGAGGTACCCTGCTGTAAAGATACCTCACCCTTTTGTATGATTTTGCCTTCGGCCCGACGCGTGCGGCAAAGACGCCTCGCCAGGTATCTGAGAATGCGGACGCATCGGCAGTAGTGAAACACGCGTACATCGACTTCGATAGCGGAAGAAAGCACATACTGAGATACTGTATCCTAATAGTATCCTAATCTTTGTCCACAGGTTTTGCAATTGGGGGCGCTGCGCCCCACCCAACCCCGCCGCTGTCATTTTACAAAGCACATGCACGCAAGCATTTGTCATCACATTCCCTTGTTTCAACATGACATTTCATCAGTTTCCTCTTTATTTATTCGGCATTTTCATTGTTTTCCACGTTTTTTGCAATTGTAATATTTTTCCACATTTTCCGTTCATTTTCAATGTTTTCATGACTTTTTCATGATGTTCATCATGTTTCATCATCTGTCGCCATTTATCATCTTTATACTTATTCTCATGCTCTTCTCACAATTTCACCATGACTCTTCATTCATTATTTCCCATCCCTTCTCGTTTCATTTTCATACTTGGCATATTTCATTGTTGTCATGATTTTGATCATTTTCATGATTTACATCATTTTTCAAAATTTACCTGGTTTTATTGATTTTCATCATTTTCATCATGTTTCATAATTTTTCAATATTTATCATTATTTCCACATTTTTCTCATTATTTTCATCGGCCACAGCACCAGCGTCTACAATGCTTCTGCATTGCAAACATAGGAACATAGTTTTACTGTTCTCGTTTGACTGCCAGTTCCCTCCTTGATTTTGCGCCTGAATCGGCGTGACTCCAGGATTTTCAGCACGTCAAACTTGTCAGCAATGTTGCCAGTAATACTACGTGTCAAGTCGGAATGTGTTTGTATACGCATCCCTGTATGCATGTGAGTTCTGTACGGAGGATTTGCATCAACTGGAAAAGCATGGCTTCAACAAGGAAACTCCGACCAAAAATCCGTGAATAAACGCAGACGCCCAAACCTTGAGCGCAGACAGCTCCTGTTTCAAAAGCATGGCAGCCGGAATGGCTTCAGCGTCTGAAAGATGAAACGGCGCCTGCGTGGCAAGCAGCCACCGCCGCCTCCGAAGAAGCCTTGTGTGAGTCCGCTGTACGAGTACAGCCTGAACGAGGTCCTCCAGCATATTTGGCTTTTTGCATTCGGCCCGACGCATGCGGCAAAGCAGTGGCAAAGCCACCTCGCCAGGTATCTGAGAATGCGGATGCATCGGCAGTAGTGAAGCACGTGTACATCGACTTCGATAGCGGAAGAAAGCACATACAAGATACTGTATCCTAATAGTATCCTAATCTTTGTCCAGGTTTTGCAATTGGGGGCGCTGCGCCCCACCCAACCCCGCCGCTGTTATTTTACAAAGCACATGCACGCAAGCATTTGTCATCACATTCCCTTGTTTCAACATGACTTTTCATCAGTTTCCTCTTTATTCATCCGTGGTGGATGCCTCACCCTTGGTCTCACGACTTGCAGAAGCATGATCACGCAACTGGTGCTGCTCGTTCCGTGACAAGCAATGCTCAAGTTTGTGGCGTTTGCAGACCTGGACCACCCTGTTCCTGAAAATAAGCATCCCTACTCGAAACAACCATAATTTCAGGCATTTGGGATGAACAGCGTTTGTATGAAAAAACCGCTGCGCAAAGTCTCGGAAAACAATTAGCTCCTGGGGACGATGTTCGGGGGTGAGCCCAGTGCTGCAGACAGTATTTGGGGAGTTGCATTTTGGGCTTGCGGCTTCGAATGTAAGCCTCAGGCTTTAGAGTTAGGGTTCAGGGTGAAGGGTTGTGCATGAGCCTCTGAACATCATCCGCACCACCCGAGCCCTAAGCCCTCCGCAGCCGCAAGTGGAAACGAACACCTTGAAGACACTGAGCTAAGCCCTTGACCTTGGCACTGCCACGGGTCTGAAATGCAAACTCTTAGGGGCCACGAAAGCATGAAAAAACGTGAAATTTCCGATTCCAAACTCCAGCCCCATGTCCACAATTTGCGTGGCAGGGGCTAGCGAAGGGTTAGTTCTTGGATTCATGGTTGGGTGTTGTATGCGCGGTTGCTGTTGCCATGCTCGTGATGGCTATATGTAGACACCGCAGCTATGTTTATTCAGCACTCATGCCTGTGTGGCTGTAGCATGAGTACTGCCAGCTCCAGGGGCTACGCTTTGCTCTGTGGCAAAGCCCGGCATGCAGCCAAAACGCATTCATGGGACTCAGCTGCCTCATGGGGAACTCCATGTGGACCACTGCTTCGACGCATTCCTTTTTGTCACCATACCTTCTTGCAAAGCCGAAGATGCTGTAAACCCATGAGAACCACAAAAGCACCACAACCCTCGCTAGACACGTTTAAGATCTCGTGCTACTGAGGATCTCGTGGTGGGGCCAGGTTCTGCAGGAACCGCGCAAGGAGGCAGGTTTCAAACTTCTGGAAGGAGGGGTCTGATAGAGCGACAATGCGGGATACAAGAGCTTGTGGCTCACCCGGGTTGATGTATTCTCCTAGGGCCATGGGGCGTTTTTCGGGGGTAAAGTCTGAGACTTCAGCACTTGGACACCTGCTTCTCGCAGGTCTCGGCCCTGAATGCTTGAGCTAGCCACATTTCGGGTTGACGGTTCAGAACTGTGTTCGGCTGTCTTGGCCCTACAGCTCAAGTCAGTCAACTCCCCAAAGAGGGACATGCTGGCTGTAGAAGCTGATAGCTAATTACAGCCTAAACGACAAAAAGAAGCCAATGCTGCCACCGCCTACGGACATCAACGATTGACAAGGCCTGTGACGACACGGCCACAGCACGACCCCGCTGGTCGCGCCCAACCCCTTGCCCAGCCTGAAGATTTAACGTTTTTTCCTGCATATGTTCATCCCCTGTCAGCACACGGCCCTTTTTGTCTGCTGTGTGAGATAGAAGCAGTGTTGGCACTGGGCATGACCCTTCTAGAATTCTAGAATCCCCAGCCCCTTCACGACATCCTGCAATTTGTCCTACGCACGATCCGCGCCATGGGTGATTCAGAGTCACCTGACCATCGGCTATCGCCAAGCGGGCAGTATGTCTCTTGGCCGATCAAGAAGCGTAAAGATGAACTTCGGTCGGATCCGCTTTTCTGGCGCTTATCTCATGATATCCGATGTTCGGCAAGAAGGAAGGTTGCCGGGCTTACAATGACAAATCATCGGACTCCTATGCGTACGATTGCTTGGCAAAGCCTTCAATTTCCGACACCCAATTGTGCTCCAAAACCTTAGGGCTTGCGAGGCCTGACATATTTCTGAATCTTCTGATGAGGGATTCGAGTTCTGAAGCACCTTGCAAAGCTGCACAATCCCTGCAACATCAATGTACAGCCGCGTTCACAATCTTGTGTTTGGTAGCTGCATTGCGCATCAGCAGCAGCATTTGGAACTCGCAGCGCCATGTGAGTGCTAGGTTTTCAGATCCTGCGCTTTTCTTGAGGGTCCCCGTATTTCACCGCAACAAATGTCAAACAACTATTTAGATTGTTTAGATGACCATCTTTCTGGGCCCACTCCAGCCAGGCGCGTGTTCACACTGGCGACTCGCCCATGGGGACGCTTCTCTGTCAAGAGGAAATGTAAGGGATGATAGGATATGATAGGGGTCCCATTAAGGATGACATCGGGCAAAATGTGGATAACATTGAGCACAGCTTGAGGAACATGTGAGGAACTAGGGAGGTTTGTATCTGAACGATCTACCAGCTCTACCTTGATCTACCTTGCCTTCTGCCATACACACTTTCATCAGCTACTACAATGCATGAACTGCATACGTTGAACTTATGCGAGCCGCCTATCTTCCTGAAACTTGAGGCAATATATTTTAGAGCGCGGACCGATATGCAATGCTCAAGTCCTAAGGCACGAGTATCAACCACGCGCTCATTTGCTGCAATATGCAGATCACTGTGCAAGAGCTGCAGGTCATGCACATCCTGAGGTGACAAACTTCCTTCTATGTCAGGCTTATTAGCCTTCGTCGCGAACCTGCAAGCCCAATGCCTACACTAGAAACCTTTGGGGCACTAAAGAGCAAAAGGGATTCCACTGAAAGAAGGTCACTTTCCGTGCCTTTCCCGTATGAGCCATAATCTAAACTCCTTAAAGAGGGTTATAGAAGGGATTATATAGGGGACTACTACAGGGGTTATTAAGCTGGATGCTAGGAGTTTAGACTATGGCTCATATGTTTTGCTGCGCAGCTCTAAGCTCCTTGGGGTTCAGGATGGGCGCTGCCTACGGGTCACCTGTTCACCATGGCTTTGGATCCCCGCGTTCGCCGGGCTCCGTCTTATCCGTGTGTCAGAAAGATTCCTTCTGTTTTGAGAAACCAAAGCAAGTATCAGACGGAGCAGACGTACTATAAGCTGGGCCGCTTCATCCATAGGATCCTTGCACTTGGGAGTGGCTTTTCTGGCCAAGCCCTCTCATATGCAAAACTCTTGAATGCAGAATGATTCTGGTGACGTTGTGCCTCCCTCGAAGCGGCTCTCACTGGAATTACAAGATTGCCAACTACAAGCTAAGTTCAGGGCAGAAGGTTTATTCCTAATCAAATTCGTGGCGCGGGCTTGTTCTTTTCAAGTTGCAAGCGCCGTCAGAACGTTCAAAGCGTCAGGTTAACGAGGGGCGACAAGGGGTAGGATTGAGTTTGTAGTCCAAGTTTGTGGATGTAAGTGGTTGGACCCAGAAAGAAAACTTACAATTTCCAGAAAAATGATTTCAGAGCTTCAGGACGGACATTGCATTCAAACAGAGGCAAGCTAAGGATGCGAGGGGTTCTTGGCAAATTGTGTTTTGGGGAGCCTAGCCCCATACCCACATGTCTATGGTGAAAAGTTGGTGGCCACGACAATTAATCCATGGGGTCTGGGCGGAAACCATTGCGTCTGTTTGAGGATGCTTTTCTGTTCTGTTATTCCGTTGAGAAGGTTGACAGGGCCCAGGCCATCATTGTTTGGAGGCCCATGTTCAAACCCTGAAACCTAAACCGCAAACGTTGTGCCAGATTCCTGGCCTGGCGCGCGGCTTGCCTTGCACTAAACGAGGGTGCTGCCTGGGCCTTTCACTTGTCGTGGTGCGCAGATGTCTGAAAGTTCTTGTCCTGCTTCAGAGCTTATTCAGGGTTTTGGGCTGGGGTTACTGGAAAGTAATATGTCGTGTTTGTGGGGAGGTGCTAGCAGCGCATAGCTTGATCGGCTTGCACCTTGCGGCAAGATGGCGGTCATGCCACTTTCGAGATGTTTTTGCTTTCTCCTTCGTCATGCCCATAGTTTCCAGCAAATTGCATTATCTCTTTTCCCCATGCTGACTTGATTTTGTCTGACGCTGCAAGGCATGTGGAGTTTCTACCGGTTGGAAGCCATCAAGGATCCTACGTCAAGCACAAGGCGCCTGCTGTAAAAGTCTTCATTACAGAACGACAACGGCGGCAATGCAGTAATTGTGTAGAGATGGTCATTTTCTGCCACCAGGGGCCATGTCTAAATAGTAGCTTCCATTTCATTTCCATTATCCCAATATATCCCCAATATAACCTCAATTATGCTGGGCATGCTGTGGTGGTCGCTGCTGGAGGCCTGGTAGTGGGGTTGACGCACGAGACGTGCATGCGATTCTGTAGTGTTTCACACCCAGAACAAGTCCAAACCTTGCGAAATCTCACCCTACTGCTTATGAGAGAATTAGTGTCAGGATTCTTCTTGTCGCTGCCCCGAACACATATTCCACTTTCCTTTCCGATCAATGACAATAATGAATGAAAGCAGGCCAGGAGCAAGGGACCTGCCTGCAAACTCTTCTTCTTCAGAAATGTAAATCTCAAAGTCCAAGACTTAAACTTCACGCTTCGCCCAATTTTCGCGTCTGTAAGGCTGCATGCCTCTTCTGATTGAGATGTTGGCTGTGTCAGCACAGTGCGAAGTTCATGAACGTTTTCCGGATGATGAGTGAAGAGACTCGTGGCATGGAGCAGCGCATCCTCGAGTTGTGCAAAATGCTGTGGTACTTCCTTCTGCTGCTTGGTTATTTGCTGACTGCTATAATCACATCTTTTTCGTCACTGAGGCTACTGTAGCTGCTGTGAATACATTCTAGAGACCCCATTCTCTGGACAGACCCCTTCTGAGCTTGGACATTGAGCACTTGTGCAGGTCCCCATATGGGGAATTCGCTGGCAGTGTCTTTGTTTAGCGCCGCTGGCCTAATTTCAGCAGGCATGTTGAGCGTTACAGAGGAAGTGGGGTGGGGGTTGTGCTGCTACTGGTGCTGGTGCGGTGCTGGTGGTGCTGGTGGTGCTGGTGGAGGTGGTGGAGGTGGTAGAGGGTGGAGGTGGTGGTAGAGGTGCTGATGGAGGTGCTGGTGGAGGTGGTGGTGGAGGTGGTGCCGGTGCTGCTGCAAGAAATCTGAGCGTCCGCACATGGGGCTGGAAAGCACATGTTGCCGATCAGGTTTTGCATGCTTCTTGCAGCTGTGTGTCTCAGCGGCAAGCAGATGGCACAAATTGTTGTGGCCAGATTCGCCAGGAGGAAGTGCAGCTCTCTCACAAGCCAGAAGCTCAAACCGCAAGAATCATCTCGTGCTCGGAACGAGGATCCTGCTAGTATGGTTGCTGCTGCTTCGACGCGCAGCTTGGCATCGGGACCAGGGTTGAGATGGGAATTGCTCAACGCTAAGGCCTCATATCAAAATTGATAGATGGCAAAGCTTTGAGAAATAAGAACCGGAGTGCTGCAAGTCCGTATCGGCAAAAGCCGCATCAAGCCAGGATCTCTTTGCAGCACCACGATGTTTTTGGAGTAGCAGCAAAAGGACAAAGACTGGTGCGAGGAGTGCAGGGAATGTGTGGGGCTGGGGAGCAAGTCCTCCATTTGTAGGTACTTAGCCATTGCACCATGCTCATGACTACTCAACGCGTTTGCCAGTCTTCTTGGCCTCTGCTCTCTCACAGTAGACTTACACAAGCCGCAAAGCTTCAAGCCTGCAGCCACCGGCTACAAGGTGTTGCTTGCTTCAAGAGCGGTGCAAATCATGCCGCAGCAGTTTTTCACTGGGGTTGCACGAGCCCAGACATCAATGCTTCTTATTCAACCTCGCGACCACCTGACAGCTTGGCACGGTGTCTGCACGGTGGCTCCAGATTGAAGATCCGGATTAGTGGCAGGTTGCCTACAGGGATGTTGAGTTTTTGCAAGGATACGAGACCTGTCTTCCCCACGGCCCAGGGCTCCCACACAGAGCCGTTTCGAGATGAACCGCTGGAGGCCGCCATACAAAGCCAACTTGCAGGAAGGTCTTTCTTGTCTTGATGCGGGTAAGAAGGTTGATTGGCAATCCTGAGCGCAGCGTCTGCACTGCTACCTCAACTATTTCCACAGGCAATCTAACGCCCCGGAAGGAAGTTGGGCCTCAAGAACTTGAGGTTTGGCTTGCGTTTCGTGTGGGGCCCTTACGACCACAAAAGTTTAGACCCTTTAAAAAGTACGCTGCATCAGCCATTCCGAGGCTATCTGCTGCCTGGAAGCCGGGCTTACGATGCAGATCGCGAAAGCAACCTAGGATAGATATCCAACAAATGCGACATACGGACTCCAGGGAATCATTATGTAATTCGTAGGTGGGAAGTTCTCAAATTATCTCATGTGCAGGTGTCCAGCGCGGCCTTCGACTGCTCGGCAGGACCCAACAACCAATCATGCAGGTGGCACTACACATACTGGATTGTGCCAACAATACTGTCCCATTCTTGGGATCCCTGTATTAGGGGGATCCTATGTTTTTTGGGAAGGCTTGATGTAGATGCCCTCATTGTGATGTATTTCCATCTTTCAGCACGGAGAAAGCGTAGAATTCCATCAAAATTCGCCTTTCAAAGGATGCCACTTGGGCCGCGGCTCTAGGTTTGTTTGTAGTGAATCCACTTGAGGGTGTAGAGATCAGCTTCTGAAAGGATTCTGGAGATGGAAAGAAGGCTGGAGCGATGCCAAGAAGGAGTGGTGCCGCTTGTCAGGAGCGTTACGCTTGAGGAATTGAAAAGGGGTCGCCATAGTGTGTTTCTGTATATATATGTATATATACATACAGTACGACATGTGGTTCCACATTGATTCAAGTTCCTTATCAGTTAACAGCAACCTAGTTGTGAGATGTTGTGAGGTGAGATAGGAGCGCAACGAAAGCACGTTGTCAAGATGTCCTAACTGTCCACATGTATGAACCCAGATAGGAGTTGTCAGCGTACAACCTTTCTTGTCGTCGTGCATTGGACCTATATGACTCCATGCCGGAGGCATAATAGATTGTGTGCACATGTTCCGGATGACGAAACGTAGGGATTGTTCTTCCGCAATCTGTGGCTAAGAGTAAGATCTCGAATTTCAAATAGGATTTTGTATGTCAGGCTGGTGTAGAAGGCCATTCAGACTAGGCGTCAGCTGCAAGATGCTGCAAGATACTATTAACGCTAGAGCGCGCCGCCTCGGCGGGCTCGTCTGTGTAGCAGCTGGAGCATGACAGCTTGAAATCAACTTGTCCCTTCCTAGTGCCATCATATTCTTAGACCACCCTATGTAGTATCTCTACATAATCTTAGCATATAATCTTCTATAAACCCCCTGACAGAGCCTTCTATGTCCGTCTAAAATACAGTATCCCTGTAGGGGAAATTCTCAGGGACCAGGCTAGAGCCCCTGGGGGTCTCCTGATTCTCGCGAAGCTGAGGCCTGACCCCCATACTTTCCGCCCAGTTTCGCGAAAATCATCAGTTTTGTATATGCATGGCTTGTTCTTGGGCTGGGGATAGTCTTTGTTGCAGCTTAGGATCTTCGAGGGCACGATTCCACAAGCATACCATGATCGCGCGCATGCCTCTCCAAGGTTGCAAACGCGAGCAGCGAGGATGCTCCGAGGAAACGACAACCTCTGCGCCGTACGATTGTGCCTGGCTGCGGATATGGTGTCTGAGATTGAGGTAGTAGATGGGATGCCTCCGGAGCCTGCAACGCTGGCGTGTCTAAGAAGCCCTCTGCCCCGAGTGGTCCTAGCTTACCCGATCACACTCTGTCTGACTGGATTCGTTGCCATGTCTTTGCATTTGTCTGAACTCTCATCCGAGCTATGACACAGCAGATCCAAGGCAACGCTGCGTTCAGCAACTGGCAGTTTGCCTGGTCAGAGCCAAAGAAGCACCTTGGGCCACGATGATTAATCACTTCTCCATATTAATAAAACCACCCCTAATAAGAAATAATAAATCCGGGACCTTAAAAATTCCTCATGAGCATTTTA